AAACTTCTTCCTGTCTGGGACTGATTTAGTCACATCTCTGCAAATGCTGATGCATTAATCAGTGTTGGCCCCTAATTTTGGAAGATGATAAAAGGTGCCATTGTTAACATGTGGCTGAAAGGAGCATTTTTCTCTGTCCTCCCATTGATAAAATCCTGCTGCCTCCCTGCACAAGCACTTTTATGGTAAGCTGTTCTGTCTTTCTAAACAAACACCACTACTGATAGTGGTAAGTAACAGCAATGCTATATATATATATAATAATAGAAATTATTTTAAATAAGACTGCTAAGTCAGTTCAGGAGTTAGGCTGTTACAACTGTGGACATGCACAGATAAAAATGATTGTGCATGAGCATGCACTGAGATTTTCCCCGGAGAAAACAGGAGTTGTAACAGTTACTTCATCTCTGCACATAACCGATATCTGTTGTCTTGTACAGACTGAAATTTGAAGCACTGAGGTTAATTGTATACCCATTCATTTACCTTGAATGCTTATTATAAATTACATGAGGTCTTATCAGTTAATACAGGAAAGAATTTATTAACAATGAAAATTTTGGGATGTGTGTGCTCTGCTGTGAGTGACACTTGGGTACATCCCAGCCTAGCAGAATACACAAACACAAATATATGTCTGGTGCCTTTGTGCAATACAGAAGCAAAGGCAGGTGTCTCAAGACTGCAATCCATAAGAGACAGCCTCTTTAAATTACCTTCAAAGTTACTTCATAATCTTTTAAAATCTTATATTGAAATCTCATTTCATTTTTGTAAGGATGGTAGATTAAATAAAAAAAGTTTACTTGTAATGATCATAACCTGATGAGAATTTAGACACATTTGAGTACTGCAGATGGAGAACCTAAGTCCAAAGCTGGCTTTCTGTTGGTGTTGTTGATCTCTTAACTCTGTTCAGAGGCAGGGTGACTGTTTTTAAATGGAATAAAGTAACATGAAGTCATTAAGCCAGTAAGGCAAGATCATAGAACACCTGTGTATCAGACAGGCACTGCCTCTTCCAGTGCCAGACATACTGTTCCTGCCTAACTTCATTCTATAGGTATTAGCATTTTAATTCACTCCTCCTGCTGACAAAAGAACGCACTTGCACCGGATTAGGTGTTCCACATCACCGTGGAAACCATGTCAGACTGATTCAGGCAGTCGTTTTGAATATAGTGTAGTGTGGGATATAAGGTAGTGATGGCTTTGTCGTTTCCTGTCATTAGGCCTTGATTATATGTTTCCAAGTGACCCAAGAAGTGCCAAGTTCTACCTGAGCAAATGACCAGAAAAGCAACTGGTAATAAAAAAGAGAAACATAAATTATCTGGTTTTAATTCATGTGTATAAACACCTTATGTACTTGGAAAGGAACGGAATGCCATTACTTCAAGGTTCAGAACAGATTTTCTGTTTCAGTAGGCTCTCAAAAGAGCGCTTTCAGTCATGATTGCTAGTTTCTTTTGTTAAACTTGGCACTCCAGAGCCGAGTTGTTTCTAAAGAAAGCACTGCTGCAAGACATAAAAACCAGTCAAGAGACAGAGCAGTGCTGAAGGGCAGGACAAGGCTCTTCTCCCACACCAGAGTTTATGCTCTGAGCAATACTCCCTAGCCTGGGTGTCAAAGCTGTTGCATCCCTTACAGAGCATGTCCTTAGCTCTTCCTTCCCATTCCCCATCATGGGAAATACATTACAGTTTTGTGGTGGAGGTTTAAAGCAATTCATGTCCTGCTTGACAGCTGAAGTATAAATGTTTTCACAGCAGAAATTGTCCACTGCTATGATCTGTGTCATTACTGCAAGCAACAGCTTCTGAGCATTCTTGTATGAACATGGCACCACACGTGGAGCTGCATGTTTGACATGGTTGAGCAGTTCTTTTAATGGCTTCAATCTGTGACAAGGAACAGACCTAAAAGTTGGAAACAAAGTTATCTGCTCTTGTTGCTCTCAGGAATCGCCACTTGGAGATTGTTGCTCCCAGAAATTCCTACATTCAGAGCTCAGATATTAGATCTATCCCCACTATAGAGTCTGACTCAAAGTAAAACAGGAGATCTTAATGTACAGCTTTAATGCAAACTTGGGCAACTACAAAAATGTAAAACTTCATCTCTCCTTCAAATAACACCAGAATCTTTGCTTATTCAGTGATACTAACTTAAGATAATCCCTTGTAAAAACTACTGTCTCAGAATGTGTATCTTTGACACCTGTATCATTTGCAGGAAGATATCAGGTTTGGGAAGATACATTTTGGTGAGATTGAGAAAGAGTCAAGGGTATACAGGAATTTCTCTGAAGTTGTGAAGTAATGCATATTGGGATCACATCATATGTAATATCCCCTCTACTGTGGTAAAATCTTTCTCATCTTAATCAAGTCAGTCTTGTGAAACCAACAGTGTGAATGAGACAAATAGTTTCATCCTGCATATTAAAAAAAAAATTACAGATGTATTTCTGATCCTTTGTAATCAAGTCAAACCCTTTCTCCTTAGGCATTTAACTTGACACTTTACCTAGACCCTGTGTAGCTACTGGAGAGGAACATGTTCTAAGTATATAAAATTCTAAGCACAAACACAAAAGGCAGGTTTTTAATGTTTAATTTATGGTGGTTTTTTATGTTTAATTGTTTAACAAGAAAAATATTTTGACATCAATTTTTTCATTTGAATGTTTCCACAGCAAGCACATTTAAAAAAAAAAATGAAACCTGAAATAATTTGTCATTCTTTATATTTCATATGGCTAAGAATAAGTAATTATTTCCAGGTGTTGACTTGCGATCAATTTCAATTTTAAATGCCTCAGTCACCAAATTTTTAGAGTAATTCAAGGTTTGGGGTAGGCCGAGTTTAAACTTCTGATTTCAGATATTGTCTTTATGTAACTGTCAACTCATCTTTCAGTCCTGGGCAGTCTGCATCACCCAACTCCTACAAATACACTGTTTGAAGTGGCTGCTTTGAATGCTTAAGATGGTCAATGTTTATTTTTCTAATACCTATTAACACAACTTCATCTGTTTTATTGTGGCAGGATCTCCAACAGACAAATATTCACAAAATGTCAGTTATTCTAATTCTTTGTGTGATTTCAGTCATGGATTTCTTAGTGTGCCTACTTGTAATCTCTTACCGTTTATCTGAAAGTTATTCCTTTAATGCTTTCACCATTCATTCATCACTTTGTTGCCTGCTTCACATCATGGTGCACAGTAGTTACAAAGCACTAAGTAACTTATTTTTTAACACAGTAACTTCCAGATTTTTATTATTCTCAAATTAAGAAAATACATTTTTAACTGCTTGTATTCTCCCTTTATAGCATTCAGAACAACAGTTTTAGAGAAGTTACTAAATAACAAATTGAAGAAACTCTTTCAAAGTGAAATAAAGGCTTCATTTTAAAGCTGGCAGCTTGAAGATAAAATTTACACTTGAGTGTTGAGGGAGCCTGAGAATACCAAGCTGACACCTCCCTTTTGTGAATGGAGACCCAAGGAAGGGCAGGAGACATCAGCACAGTTTCTCTGTACCAGTATCTTGAGAAGCTGCTGGCAGTTAAAGTGATGGCTGTGCAGGCACAATGCTGGAACACAGCTTTGTTGAGCCCTGCAGGCTCTCTGAACCTCTCAATTTAGTCCTAACACACAAAGAATATGCTCTGTTCACCTCTGCAATTCAGACTGGGCCCTTGACATTACCAGTCCAATAAAGCCAAGAGGTTACCCCAGCCTAATGGGCAGAGTCTGTCTCAGCAGTATGCACAAGCAATCCTTGTTCCTTTCTGAACAACAATTTTGGGAGACCTATTTGTGATCCCAAATTTAAATTCTACCCTCAGAACATACAATGATGCCTGTCAGAATCGCTTGGCTGGTTCCATTCATGCTTATTCATTGAGGTGGCCGGGTGCCCATTCACATGGTACCAGACTATTTTCACTGTGTTGAACTGCCAAGAAGAACAGGTTTAGGAGAATAATCTGCACACTGTTCAAGCTCCTGCTCTTCTGAAGAAAGCTTTTTTCCAGCACTTTTTTAACACTGCACATTTATTTTGTCTAAGAGTTTTTGATAAGTTACAATTCTCAAAACACATTGCTAAAAGTAACAGACTGACCCAAGTCAGATAAATGCTGCATTCCCCAAACAGCACAAGTAATAACATCAGAGATGATTCAAAGAGACAATGCCTAGCCTATCCTTTTTGTCAGATCCTCACCTTTATTTCACAGGGCTTTTGTAAGCACCACAATCTGCTGAAAAAGTAACCTACAGTGCCTAAACAAAGGCTCCATCCCAAAAGGTGCTCTGCAAACCCTCTTCATATGGTAACAAAACAGCCTCAACAGGTTCTGTGTCTACTCCACAACTGAACTTCACTGCAGATAAAAGGATTGTATCTGAATGGATTTGTGGGCACATTAGTGCCAAGTGTTTGTTGGCATTGCAGGAACAGCAATGCTGTCTGACTGCACTGGGGCAGTGACAAAGATATTCCCCCCAGTAACACATTACTAAGCTAGGAAAAAGGTAAATCATTAACATTGCACTCAAGCTGCTGCACAAACTTCTAAATGTAATCTGGCATGGTTAGTTTTTGCTTTTTTTTCCCCATGCCCACTCTGTCTCACCAAAAGGGGGAGAAGAAACTCCCTACACTAATTGCCAGAAGAAAGAAGAAGAAACCATGACCATTACAGCTACCACAAATGGCTTGCTTAGACCTCCTCAGAAAACACTATGGCTTTCCTAAAATTTAATGAGGTTGCATTCACAAAGACTTCCAAGCACACATGCTGTCAGCCCACATACCAAAACTTTTGTTCAGAAAAATTTAAGTAGAACATTCCAAAAAAGTACAGTTGTAAGTGGAGGCACTGCAAATTTCTTACTGTAGAAAAGAGGCCATCTCCAGATCAAGCAGATTGTGACCTCACTCCACATGAAAAACTAGGAAGAAAATCTACAAGAGGAACTTTGTTATAGATGAATGTTTATTGAGTTTCTATTGGTCTCACAGAAAGTGTATGTAAGTACAGATGGACAGTCTCCATGCTAACAATTTTCTACTTGCAAGGGACCTTGCTGAATTGCAGTGTGTTACTTTATCCATAATCATTCCTATAAGCCTTTTCTTGGATGCGTAACACCATTCTCCGAGCATAAAAATCCCTGTATTCCTCAGGTAGTTCTTCAAGTGTTTTCAAGGCTCTGTCCAAGATCTGTATAGCTCTAGAGGCTGCCATGGGATCTTTATTTCCATAAGTGTCAGTCTTATCATAGGACTCAGCAGGAAGGTGCTTCCAAAAGACATTCAGTGCCACTCCAAATTCCTCAGAAATTACATTATGGAACCACAAAGCTGTAGAAAGAACAGTGTCTAAAATAAAAATTACTGTCCAAAACTTCCATGTGACTCCAAGCAAGTATCAGAATTGCTCAAACTAAATCTAGTTGAGGAAAATCCTCAACTACTGTATTTTTGTTTATTTATAAATATCCATATGAATGCATTGCATTATACCAAATTTAAGAAACTTTTCAAGACATTTATGCTGATCCATAACTTCTCATAAAAGTAACAATTGCTGAAGTGTAGAGGTACTCAAATGTAAGCAAATGATAAGCATGTGTTGGGTGAAAGAAAAACACCTTCCCTTGCTCTCCTCCACTCTAAATGCAGGTATCTATTTTCACTTAGTCCCTAACCTTGCACACACTGTCCAGGCATTAATGTAAACCACCAGCATCAGCCAAGTCACTCAGCCAAAGTCACTAATCTTCTCATAATGAAGGCATGAGGCTTTTCAGCTGAATCATCATGACTGTAGTAAGGAACCCAAGACATCTTTGTTTCATTGAGTATATTTAAAGAATCAGTTTAATATGGTATATTTAGGATATTTGAATTTTAAGCTAAAAGTCTGAATGCTGTATTCATTTTATCTTATTTGCCTGTAGGTGCTGAAGACATAGAAAGGTTTATTCTGAGAAATTAACACGAAGTTTCTTTCAGGTTAGGAAGAGGGGCTGCTTCTACCTTCTTCATAATAACCACACACATTCCTCAGAAAACATTTTTTTTTTTCAGCAATATGCACTGCAGGGTGCTGACAAAGCACCATACTCTGGACTCAAAAATCCCTGTACTCCCCAGTCATTCTTAAGAGAGCTAAGTGTGTCTCAAGTTTAACTCTGTTCACCCACTGGAAAAGACAAACAAGTACCTGGACTTCATAAACAGAAAACAGGAAAGCTGACATCAGCAGCAGTGTGACATACAACTATCTAACTGTGACCAAAAGTTTATTTAAGAAGAACCATAAAGGCAAGTTCAAAATTAGGTAACAAGTCCAAGGCTAAGAAATAATTATAAAATTACTTCCTAAAAACCTATTGCCTTCTTGTTTACTGACCTGTTTATATTGTCCAGATAACATAAAAGTGACAGGATAAGTCGTATCTGCTGCAAGCTCACGAGTTAAAATAAAATCAGTAAAAAGGAGTAGTTCAATAGGAGTAATGCAAATGCCTTTCCCTGACTGTCATGTCAGTCCAGTAAGCAGCTTTCTGCTTGTGCAGAAAAATTATTAGGACTTATGTTTCCATTCCCCAAAGATGATTATTAATCTTTTGAAGGTCCAATAACTGTACCATCCATAATTCTCATCAGACCATGTGCCTCATAGTGCTTCAGTGCCAGAGCTACAGAAGAACAGAAATGGTATTTCACTCACATTCTGTCACTAAAAAATTCAGGTCACTGAAGCCATTTCAGATTTCAGAAGGTAAGTTTATAGTATTAATCTATTAAGACACAAAATCAGGAGCATAGAGTGTACACTTGAGGGAAAGCAAGATTTGTAGGTAGATATAATAATACTGTTTCTCAGGTTAATTGTACAATTGGAAGAAGTAAACTAGTTTTGCCAACATCTTTCAATGCTCCTACTTAGAGAAATGCTTTAGTAATCTCTTACCTTCTCCAGAAAACAAATTAGAAACAAGACTGTTTAATACCATGCCATGGTCAGGAATTATTTACTACTTACCTGGAATAAATAACACATCTCCTGCTTCCAAAACACATTGATAGCGCTTGGCTTTCATGAAAAGGGGATATTTCTCCATGTCTGGGTTATCCACATCCAGTACCTCTGATTTGGTACCTAGGAAAATTTCAGTGAATAAACATTTCCACTCTTCCAATAGTAATAAAGCATTAATCATATTGCTGAAGATGGCAGTTCTTGAGTCAAATTTAGTACTGGTTTATTTCTCAAAAACCTGATGGCACCCCTCATTTACCGAAGAGATGTTCTCCTGTTGTCTGTATTTGTTCTGTAACTGCAACCTCATTAACAGTAAAAACCACTTTTCCTGATATCTAAAAAGCCATTCTGAACCCAGACAGAACATTTTACTCCCTCAGTTAGGTGTTAAAAATAATCAGGCAAAGCTGCTGTTTTCCTTAGCTTTGACTAAAGCACACAGAATCAGAGTTAAAGGAACAAATTACTTCTTTTATACCAAGTCATCTGTTAGTGATTATTTTCTACAGTGCAACACTTGTGAGCTGAAAAGTTAAGATCACTAAACTCCAATCTAGATACCTGTGACATGCATACCTGATAAATATAAATATGGTGCATCTCGAGGACTGTACAAAACAACTCGTTTTCTCCCTATGACTTGGATCAAGAAGTTGTCCATTACCTGGGATGAGCGTAATAATAGAGAAGTCAGCCAAAAGTTGATTGAATAAATATATAGACTTCAACTGATCCAATTACTAGCTTAAAAAAAGAGTATTAATAAAACCTTCACATGTTAAGAATTATCTTATAAATAAATTTATTCAGAACTCACTGCAGTGTTAGAAGACAACCTTATTTGGAATCTATTGCATTGCAGCCAGAAACCACTACAGTCATTGCACAGTTGGCTGTGTATCATACAATTAGAATTTGTCCTAATCTGACCATTACAGTGAAAAAAAAAAGAAAAAACCTAAAGCAATGTTGAAGACAAAAATGTTTAAAGTTACTGTCTTTCAGATTTTCAACTGAAACTCAAAACGGTTTAAAAAAGGAAAACAAAATAAAACATCCTTTAACCTTACGAATCAGGAATTAGACATAAACCCAGTTAAGATATTATGCCTAAGCAATGCAATGTTTAAAACTCACCATACAACTGATTGTAGTTCATTTTACTATTTCAAAATATGTGACATTTGTTATTATTATCTAATCTTTGACAGAGATTTGCACTTTATTCTCTCAACTCTGTAATGCCATCTGCAAAATTTTATGCTAAATCCATGTATTACCTACATCATAATGTGTCCACAACTGTAATCCAGCTGAGCTGATGCGGAAGACACTAGAGAAAAACTGTTCCTTCTCAAAATACTCTGGAATATTAATATCTTCTGCTAAAATAGGAAACTGCTTCCTGATATCTGCAGTATCCTGAAACAGAAAGGGCATAACTCTTAGAGAACCCTCTATGCACATTTAAATGGGGAAGCACTTCACAATCATTTCCAATCATATGAAAAGGGCTTAGAACTTCAACATGGGCAAACACCTGAAATCAGAAATGCTTTTCAGCATTGACTTGCCAAATGCCATTAATAAGAACAGCCAGAGAGCTGCTCTTAACCATGGCTGCTAGGAATCACACGGCACGAGCAATAGATCAGCATAAATCCTTTTATATTAATTTACAACAAAAGCTAAAAAAAAGGGAGTTTAGCAATGTACTCTTCAATGATCAGCTCAGCTCCCAAGCAACAGCAACTATTTTAGACACACTGAAGTACTCTGACCTAAATTCAGTCAGATTCACAAACCATGTGACCCTAAGTAAGTTTTATGACAACAGGCTTTAAAAAATATTTCTAAACTGCAACTTTACAATATTAGAACTGTAATCTCCAGTAACTTACCTTCCTAACATCTTCACCCACTGATCGCAAATAATATTTTTCATCCTGAAGAGAACACAGAAAGAGAATTTTGGGTTTTTTTAATAAGAATTACCAAAACACTTAAACAAAGAACTTGTATTTTCTCATTTATCTAATGCAGAATTTCATTAAAATATGGTACAAATAAAGGGCATCTACAAATTCAGCTACTTTGTTATACTGTCATTTACTGATCCCTGCAGCTCATCATGAGAAAAAGGAAAAGTTAACTGACAGACAAAGAGTAAAGTGTGGGGAGACTGGTCAACTGCTTCAGCATTGCTGTTACTGAACAGAGTCAAAGCAAATGCAGATTATAATTTAAGTCCTTCAGTATATTGATGCAGAAAACTATTTTTATTGCCTTCAAAATTTGCTTCCCAATCACAATTACCTGAAAAATTCCTAGCCTGAACACAGATATGTAGAGATAACCACGCATTTGCTACTCACAAATTATGTTACAATATATCTGGATTTGTATTCTGATAGTCATCAAATTCTAAAATACCTTCATGACATTTTCTTACAAAACACACAAATGATATGGTTGTTATTCTAAAGCAAGGTTTGATTTATAAATTTCATATTGAAATTTTTGCTCACGTAAGCAGTTTTTGTTAAGAGACATAGGATGACTGAAGATAACCACCCTGTACACATACAAATAAACTTTTGAGAATAACTACTTCTCACGTTTTTCCTTTGGCATCAACCCACAAGAAAGTTAAATCAAAGATCAAGTTTTTCACTGAAGTAAGACTTTAAATTACAAATCATCACTTTTCTCTCCACATACCATTAAAATAACCAGCAGAAGAAACTGTGGAACTAAGAAAATTACCTCAGTAAGAAAGTACTCCTTGTGCTTGACTTCAGCTGCTCTTCGTACAAATGCATCAAAAGGCAGAGTTCTGAAATATAAATATTTGAATTTATACCATGAATCAGTGTAACAACACATGGTCTAAACCCTAGATCTATAATAAGCTCCCTTAATATCAAATACAATGGAAGATGCAATAGGCTGATCTCTTACTTTTTTAAATTAACATGATGACTAATCAGTATTTGCAGATGTTTGAAGAGTTCTCCCAAGACAGAAATCCTACACTTGGAAACTTCTCTGCTTTAGTGAATTGTTCCAATATATATCCAAAGATAATCCTGTAGCAGCTGAGGCTGGAAGCACCTCTGGACCTCCTCCAGTCCAAGCCCCTTGCCAAGAGCAGGGTTCACTACAGCAGCTTGCACAGGACAGCATCCAGTTCAGTTTTGGAGATCTCCGAGGATGGAGACTCCATAATCTCTAGGCAACCTGTTCCATTTGTTCTGTTGTTTGACTAACCTCACTGTAAAACAGTGTGTGTCTGTGTGTGCTAAAAGGGTTAACAGAATTTTCTGTATTTCACCTTGTGCCCATTGTCTCTTGTCCTGTCACCATGGACCACAGAGAATCTGGCTCCATCAACTGTTCATACAATTTGTTAAGATCCCCTCTTGAGCTTATGAGTTCTGAATGGTCTGAGTCACAGAACAATACATTTTTCACAGTCAAATTAAGACTCAAATTGTGACAATACTTGCTTAACTGTTTAAGTGTGTCATTTTTAGACTGGTTTACTGTACATTTTTATAAATTTGCAGAAAAGCTCAGCATCAAGAAAACTCCAACAAGGAAGATGCACATGTTCATATCTATGCATTTTCTGCTATGAATTTGTGCAGGAGCACAGATACTACCTTCATTTGTACATCTATAATTTTTTTTCAGCTATATGGATTTTTAAAAAAAATATAGCTTTCTCAGCTCCTCAAAATACAGGAATCTCAATATTTCAAATGTTTCTTTTCAGTTTTCCTTAAATTTACTAAACACAACTTCAGAAGATTCAGGAAGAGTCACTGGGCATTAGAGCCGGTCTCTCTGAAGTCAGTAAGAGTGATATAGATTTATCTACATAATGGGAGCTTTTCATACAGATTACAGATTCTGGTATCAGTTGATAGCTGCATGGCAAGCCAAGCATAATCAGCAATAGGACATGTATTCATTATTATTAATTCAATGTTACATTTGTGCAGCTCACCATCTCACTGGACAATGAACTATTGCATGTAAATATCACATTTCAGAGCAACCACCAAGAACCCAGAGTTAAGAAGAAACCATTCTCAAGCAAAATTTTTCTTGATCCTGGTATCTTTTTTAGTAGAATGTGAACCTGCATCTGACAGTACTTAAACCAATTCTCTAAACAATTTATGCTTGTTTGGAATAGGCAAATACAAAATCCACTGAAGTCATTGGGAAACCAAACAAAACCCAGTACTCTGACTTCAAGCCAAACTGTTCTATCATGTCCACTTATGTTTGCTGCTGAAGAAAGTGAGAGCACAGCTCTACTACAGCTTAAACTGATGCACTCTGGTGCTACCGCAGCTCTGCCCTTGCTATCTACCCTAATCACCCCATCTCCCCCCATACAGTAGCACTGGCACTCATCTGACCTCTCCATGAACCTGCTTACAAAGCTAGAAAAGCAGAAAACCATTCAGATTTCTGCAGCACGTCACAACCTGGCTGGATGAGTTCCAGAACCAACACAAAGACAGGGGTAGGAGCATGCAACTTACAACAGAACTGCAGTACTACTGATGTTCATCAGTTTAAACTAATGGAACTGCATGTTAAGTCCTCAGAGTTTCTATTCTTTTGTTTCTACTTATTGTCCCTTCAGATTAGAATGAGAGGCTTGCTGTGGAAAAGGTCAAAGCTTCCTGGATTTTAAGAGAAGCATGTGAAAGTCCTGACACCTGCTATCATGAAACACCATCAGAGCATCCAGAGAGTCTATTTGGCTGTCTACAAACCTGCTCAAACTAAGACTCCAGAACAACTGTATCTCACAGCAAGAGATACTAAAAAAAACCCCAAAACAGAGCAGGGAAAATGAAGTATGGAGATAAGACAAAGTTATTCAAGTACACTCTCATTTCAACAGTTCACTATGCAGGGAGCAGAATGCATCATGATTGTAATTTGTGTTTATCCCCTGAACAACAGGCTCCACTCAGAGATTTGTGGCTTATTTACACATACAGCATGCACTCCCCCCTGCTTAGAAGCTTAACAGACTGAACACATCCTATTCCTACCTGGGGAAACAAAGGACTGCTAAACTAAAGGCATTGACCCTTGAAGGAGGTAAATTTACACAATGACTGAGATTAGATGAACTCTGAAGAAATGTTCTGGTAGTTACATAAGAGAAGCTCCGGAGGAGATCAAGAGTTTTTGTGGTCCACATCAAGATTAAAGAGCTGGTGAAATGTGTGGTATCCAGTGGTTTGAACATTCTGAAAGCTGCACATGCTAACTTTGAAAGCAGCTTGTTTTTAACTAGTTACATCCTTTCTGGAGTGGAATACCTTGGTTGGCACACACACACCATTCAAAGGAGATCAGACACACCGTGAATCAGAAATTGTCACTATTCAGTAACACTGAGAATGCACCATGTAACTACAACAAAATACCGGGTCATCAAGTGTAGATATCAAGGGTGTTTTGGTTTGTTTTCAATAAACAGCTGCAAGTACCAAGCTCACATTTCCTGCAAGAGTGCTCTGACAAAATACCTTTACAACATCTTTTCATGACATCATTTTTAAGGTGCTGTTTGGCCCCTCATCTCACCGTTGTTGTATTTATTCAGGGTGTAGAATTAATAGAAGAGGGAGAAATCTAGGACAACCCTTTGATACATAATGTCATGTTTTCACAAACTATCTTCCTATTCCCACTCTCAGCTTCAAACAGATGCACTGTATGTCTGTAAAGTCACAAGCACATGCCTTTAAAATACAAGAGGCCTTGGCGTGAAGTACCTATACACAAAGTTCTTACTGAGGAAATCCATCTGTGGCACTGCAGACACATGAATCTTTACTTCTTTAGATCCTTCAGCTTGGCTCAAGTAATCTATTGTCCATTTGGTGGTGCATGTGCCCAGTTCCAGTCCTGTCAGCACTACTGGCTTTCTCTAAGAAACAACAACAAAAAAAATTCAGTGGTGAATGATCACAGCATCCAAAAGAAAAAAAAAAAATTTTTTTTCAAATTACATCCAAGCAAACAAGTCAGTTGAATACCAGGACCCACTACACAAGGTCACAACTAATCTGTTCATAAGCAGTGTGAATCAAATTCAGAACGTTGAAACAAAATGCAGCAAATTATGGAACTGTTTCTCTATGTGTTCTTTCCTAGTTGGGTAAGGAAGGATATGGAAAGGCAAACACAATTATAGCCCACTCTTTGTGCTGGGGCGATTTAGGAAATCCCAGCAGAAGGAATAAATTTAATCGTTCTAGTCAAGGCTTAACACAAACATGCAAAAGCCCACACAGTTAAGGTGTAGCCTGTGAGCTGTGGTGATGCTCTCATGAGAGAAAGAAGCTCTTTCTATCTGTATCAAGATTCCTTGCTGCTCACAACCACGAACAGGTTTGATCGAGCCCGCACATAAAAAGTAGAGAGACACTTCTGCTTTTAACTGGGACCTCGGAGGGTGGGGGGTAAGGGGCGGGGGGGAAATAAAACAGGATATTACAAAACAACAAAACTAACTTTTTAACCACTGCCAAACGAAATGGATTCTTACAGAGATCACCTGTCGGAACTTGCCAGCAGCTCAGACAGGACCTGCCTACAGAAGCTCCTTGCTCCTAAACTCCCATTCCCGTCAATGGATCAGGGCACCCTTTCGGGAACACACAAACCCAAATCCGGGCTGGCCTGCCCCAGCTGTGCCCGCTGAGGAGGAGTCCTCAGACACCTCCTGCCTTGCCCCGCGTGTCCGTGGAGCCGCAGCCGCTGCGGCGGTCCCGGGCAGAGCGCCCCGTACCCGCGGGTAGATGTCCCGCAGGAAGCGCTCCCGCGTCACCCCCTGCAGCCGCTCCAGGGCCACCGCCCGCCGCTCCCGCCGCTCCCGCCGCTCCATGGCCGCCGCCGCCGCGTCCGCCCCGCCGCTTCCCCCGGAAAGAAGACCCCGCGCAGAAGCGTTCCTGCCTCGCCCTCTGGGCAAGGACCGGGAGCCCTCGGATCACGGAATTGCCAGGGGTGGAAGGGGCCTCTGGAGAGCATCGAGTCCAAGCCCTGCCACGCAGGGTCACCTGCAGCAGGTGACACGGGAACATGACCAGGAGGGGTTTGAATATCTCCAGAGAGGCAGACTCCATGACTTCCCTGGGCAGCCTGTTCCAGTGCTCTGCCACCCTCAACCTAAGAAAGCTCTTTCTCAAGCTGAGGTGGAACTCATTATCTTTTAGTTTATGGCCATTACTGTTCGTTCTGTTATTGAGCACCACTGAGAAGCGTCTGGGACCATCCCCTTGGCACCCGCCTTGGAGGTATTTCTGTGCATTCGTGAGATCCCCTCACAATCTCGTCCAGACTGAACAGGCCCAGCTTCCGCAGTCTCTCCTCATGAAGAGAGATGCTCCAGGCCCGTCACCGTAGCTGTGGCATCCGTTGGGCTCTCCCCAGTAGCTCCTGGTCTCTCTTGTCTGGGAAGCGCCGAGCGGGACACCGTGGCTCGGGGCCGGCGCTCTGCGGCGGTGCGGGCTGGCGAGCGCCGGGGGCGGCCCCAGCCGCGCTTCCGGGGAGCGGGGCCGCGGCCGCGCGGGCGGGCCGGCCATGGCGCTGCGCTGCGCGGCTCCGGGCCGTGTCCGCTGGCTGGCGCGGGCGCTGGCGGGCTCTGCCCGGCTCCTGCCGCCGGCCGCGGCCGCAGCGGGCCCGCCGGGCCCCGCCCGGGCCCGTCCGCCCCAGCTCAGCGCTCGGTTCGCCAGCAGCGCCGGGTCTGGGACCGAGGGCCCTCAGCGGCGTGTCATGGTAGTGAGGATCACCAGCCCCTTCGCCTGGCTCCGCACCCGCTTCTATTACCTGCTCATCCGCCTCTACTTCGACCAGGAATTCAGCATCGAGGAGTTCACGCGGGGAGCCAAGCAGGTGAGCGGGCCTGGCGCCTCGGGACGAGGAGAGCGGCCGGCCTGAGGGGAAAGGTCCCGCTGGCCCTCTGCAGGGCTGCCGATGCTTGCGGTTATTTTCATGGAGTTATAAGAACCAGTGCTGGAGAAAACTTAGAGATAGTCACAGAATCACAGAACAGGTGAGGTGGGAATGGGCCACAGAGGGTCATCTGCTCCATCCTGCTCTAGCAAGGTCGTCCTAGAGTACATGGCACTGGATGATGTCCAGACGTGTCTGAGATATTTGCAGTGAGGGATACTCCACAACCTTTGGGCAGTCTGTTCCAGTGCTTGGTCACACTCACAGTAAAGAAGTCCTTTCTTGTGTTCAGGTGGAACTTCCTGTGCATCAGTTTCTGCCCTTGCAGAAACTCTTGTCCTGTTGCTTGGCACCACCGAGCAGAATCTGGTCCATACTTGTGGCACTCCCCCTGCTTTAAATATTTATACACATTCATGAGGTCTCTCTCAGACATCTGTTCTTGAGGCTGAAGAACTCCAGTCCCACAAGCTTTTCCTGTAGGAGAGATGCTCCAGTCCCCCAGTCCTTGCTGTTGGACCCACTCCATGAGCTCTGTGTCTGTGTTGTACATTGAGTCCAATGTGTCACCAAACACCACTTTGTCAAACAGTTTCTGGCATCAGTCTTTCCTTAAGCACCTCTAGGGGTGATGACTCCACCACCTTCCTGGCAGCTCATTTCAATGTTTGACAGCCTTTTCCTTGAAGAAATCTTGATGTCCAGCCTGATTTTATTATGTGTGGACATCATAGCACAAAGTGCTCCCGTGTGTAAAATATATGGAGTTCCCCCCTGTTGGCTCCAAGCACCACATTTCAAGGCAAATGGCATAAGCAGAGCTATATTTTCCTTCAGGAATTTCTTGTTTTCCCAGATTCCACAATTAAAATGAACTGGTTAAGCCATCCCCCAAAGTAGCGTGAAGGAAGGTGCTTCCAAATGTTACAGAGACTTTAAGGAGAAGTTGTCTCCTCTTAGCAGGTTTTCCTGAAAATGATCAAGCTTAGACATAGAGCTGGTGTATATATATTTATGTCTCCAAATTTATGAATCCAGTAAGCCTTGTCAACAGAATGTGTCAGAGAGATAAGTATCTCAAAGCTAGTTATATGAAAATTATAGTTATCTGTTGGGAAACTTTTTATTATTATGTTTACTTTTTACAAAAAAACAGCTCAAAACATCACATTAGGGGACAGAATGTTAAAATGATTAGGATCAATTCAAGAAAGGAAAAAGCTCACAACCTACAACAAATAATATGATGTATGTGCGGAACCACCTGTTTTACCTTGGCCGGTTTTTCTGAGGTTTTGTTCTGGTGTTTGTTTGTTTTTACTTGGTGTAGAGTCCTAAATACACTGTCCTTCACAACGGCACTAGTTGAATGAGGCATAATTGTATGTTAATATGCCTGCAAAATTGAGGGGAGAAAGGAGAGTTGAGTTTCTTGAAGTCTAGAGACTAAACCAGATTTGTAAAGCAAATTTGTAAATTGCAGCATCAGTTTTGACTGAAACTTTGAAAAGATGAGTTGGAAAAGAGGGCAGGGGAACAAAATATCTGCAGGGAAAGACACGGAATGAATTATCAAAATAAATAAAAGCAACATACAAAATACTACAAAGTTTTTTTTCTTTTGTAAACTATGAATTAATCTTTTGGAAGCTTTGATGTTTTAACTAAGAGATTGAAAAGAAATCATATGTTTTTATCAATCCATGAAATCACTCTTGTAATGCTAGAGAGATTATATTCCAGTGGTGATACCCTCTACAAATACTGAAATCTTAAATCATGAAATATTTGGGTAGCTTGTAATATACTTATGTATTTGTCTGAAAAATAAGCCAACCTAGAGTTTCGTGTTCATGTGTGTTTTTTTTCCTGTTTTATTTTGGTAGGCCTTTTCTGTTGTTTCAAAGCTGCTGTCTCAGCGTAAACTTGACCTGCTGGAAGAACTTGTATCAGCAGAGGTAAATGCTTTCCATCTCCTATTCTAACAGTTAAAAAGTCTGTTAAAAAGTAACATGGATGATTCAGCCTGTCATTATCTACAAGTTGCCAGTTTGGTTTAATTTGGGAAAAACAGCATTATGTGACATAAGGTGGGAAATTTTTTGTCCTACAGCTTTTTTATGTTTAATTTTGCATAAAAATTAATTTGAAGTTACTGTATTCAAAATGAAAAAAAAATATATTTTAGCTGTTGAACATAAGGACCAAAGGCCAGAATGATTGCTGGTGTACCAGGAAGGATGGAAAGGCAGCAGGCTCTGGATGGCAGGTGGAATTGTGTGTCTCTAGGTGTAGGCAGGTGGCTGAAGCTGACTCAGTCTGTGCACTAGAATTCATGTGAAGAAATAAACTGGTTTTGTGCTCATCCCTGCTGCACTGATACATTCCCATCCCCATCAGATCATACAGCTGATTACTGGTTTTGGCTGGAAGGCCTCAGTCTTGTGTCATGGTCTCAGGGATATGACTGACCTGGTTAACCATTAGTGCTATGTTTTCTGTGTTTTTATGAATTTTTAATTGCTGAAGTTGTCTTGGCCTTCCCAGGGCATGGAGGTAGCAGATGCATCAGAGTCAAGTGGAGGAGACACTCCAGGTCTCTGTCTGCCTTGTTTACAGGATGTCAGCATGGCCTGTCCTATTGCCACCCATGCCTTTGCAGCAAAAACTCTGGTGCTGTTCTAGTGCATCCCCTCTGAACAGTCTTGCCTCCTCTCTCTGAACAGAGATAGCAATAAAACGTGAGTTTGTTTCTTGCAGTTGTTCTGAAAGGGCATCTCTGCTTCCTCTTGAAAGAACTTACTCTGGTCACTGTAAATTTTTCAGGCTTACATTGATGAGGAGATTTCGTGTGAGCCAAGGATGTAATAGATGAGGCTGTGATCCCATACTACTTTGTCATTTCTTTGGCCAGTGAATTTTGTACCTGCAAAATGTACTAGAAACCAATGTCTCCTTGTGAAGATTGCCTCTCACTTCCATGTAACCTCTGCATTTGTTACTCAAAAATAGTAGATCAAGTTAGGGTAAAAAATGAGTATTAGTTAAAAATAAGTTCTTTAGTTTCATCCTTTCTTGTGAATTGACTTTCGTATGTGGTATTTGGGGTGCTACTTCAGTGCAGTTTTTGCACCCCACCATTTTCTACTTAACACAGCTGTGTGTTAGATAATATGGATGTGAGTGTCATAAGGACATTAATTACCAAGGGAAGAATTTTCAGTCAGTTCTGACTGGAAAGTGTTTAAACTTTTTCTAAATGGAGTGTGGATCACAAAATGGCAAAGAAACTCATTGGTAACGAATCTGATTTTCAAAGAAATCTGTGAGAGATAGCTAAAAGATTCTGAATCACAAGCTTAAGAATCTGCACATAGAGAGAATTCTGCCATGAGAAGGCAGAGTGTGATTGTGGAGCAAGCTTCACCGGGCTGTTCTGGGCTGACATGCCTTGTGTTGCTGTTGCTATTTTGACAGTACCTTATCTAAACATTTTTAAAGATACTTGGTTTTCATTTGTTTTGAGCAGTAAGGACCTTCTTCAGTGTTGCTGAATTAGGGTTTATGAAGGCCCAAACTTCCCAGTGCTTTTTCACTTCAGCTGTTACGTGTGTTAGATGAATGTTTTAGCAATACAGCTCATTTTATTAACTTCAGTAGAAATAGATTGTTACTTAAATTTCCTAATGAAAAACTAAGTGACAGTTTTTCTGAATTTAGGTACTTCAGGTGCTGAAGGAAAAGCTTTCTTTGCTCCCTGACAGCCACAGGGATGCTTTAGCAGCTGACATTGATGCAATCATGTACACAACAGAAGGAGATGTTCGCATTTACTATGATGATGATGGTACGTTTAGAATTCTAAAACATTTCAGCAATGACCAGTCTTATTTCCTGGGTTTGCTACTGAACACATGTTCTTCATGCAGATCTGGTTTTGAGTACTGTTTCT